GTAACAGGGGTGGCCCATGATCCTGCCCTTGCAGCTGGAGGCTGCTCTGGCTGGCTGGGGCCACGGCTGTTTCCACAGAAATGAGGGAGAGCACCAACCCCCAGAGATAAGCCAATAAACGCAACCTGCAAAAGGAGAGAACAGGCAGCAAGAGAACCGGAGGGAACCAGGGGGCCCCGGAGAGAGAGGCGAGAGCGTGGCAGCCGGGCCGTGGAGCAGAGCTGGAGAGGCAGCGGGAAAGGAGGGCCTTGCAGGGGGGCTACTGTTCTTGGCAGAGAGAAGGGAGGCCTCTGGAGGTCAGAGAGAGACACAAAGAGAGCAGACAGCATGGTCAGTGTGGAGGCCGGAGTGCACGGGCCCAGGGCCGCTCAGGACGGGTGCAGGCACTCAGGACCCTGCATTCCCGCCACCCAGACGCCAGCCCCTTCCCAGGACGACCCTTGCCATTTGCCTGAGTGGTTCTGCTGAGTCTCAACGTATCTCCAATGTCCATGGGGCACAGAAACGACACACACGGAAGGAGATTTGGAGCAGGCACTGAGGCTTCCCACGACCTGGTCACCAGCACCTACTCACCCCACAGTCACCCCTCCAACCAGGAGCCCTGGGAGCTCCGCATGTTCTAGGGAAGCTAGGGGCCACGGTGGGCCCCCATCCCGCAGTCCAGAACCCTGGGAAGGACCTCGGCCAGGTGAGAGAGTGACAGGAAGGCTTCTCCCTACCCTACCCTCTGAGGACAGGGACTAAAGCCATCTTGTCCCCCGTGTTTGTGGAATGAAGATACAGGGGAGAGGTGGGAAGAGTGCTGGGGATGCAAAGGGTCCAGAGGTGCACTGGCCTGCTTGGGCTGCCCTGGGGCACTCTCCCCGAGCACCCTGATTCTGCAGGTGCCGCTCAAGAGCGGCAGCGATCAGGGAGCGAGTCCTTGGATGGGCCCTGCGGCTCCAGGAGAAAAAAATGACAGAAAGGCCTGGCCTGGCCACTCTACGCACGTCCTGCCCTCTCCCCCGCCAGCGGCCCCAGCTCTGACCTCGGGTCTCAGACACGCTGGCCGCGGGCAGAGGCAGGGCCGTAGGGTCCGCGGGCTCGCTCGCCAGCCTCTGCCCGGCACACATGGACTTGAGCATCTGGAAGACAGCAAGCGGAGCCACGTTCAGCTTCAGCAGGTCGACCAGGATCCTGGCGAGAACAAAAAGGCGGGCGCAGTGAGCCCACTCGCTCGAGCCGGGCCTGCTTGGCGCGGCCGCAGGACCCCATCCCTACAGTGGGCGCTAGCTAAGGGCGGGGGCTCCCCCAGGCGGCGGAGCCGGGGTCGGCCGAGCACAAAGCCCCCAGAGCCCGCTCACTTGAACACGTCGGGGTCGATGGCGCCGCCCGCTGCCTGCGCCAGCTCGTACAGCTCCATCTCCTCGGCGCTCAGCACCTTCTTCCGCCGCAGCGCCAGCTTCTGCAGCGCCGCCTCCAGCCCCGCGGGCGTCCCCGGCCCGGGCCCGGAGCCCGCCGCCGCCATCAGCGCGGCCGGGAAGGTGCGCGCACCGGGCGCCCGCGCCTCGACCCCGCCGCCCGCGCTTCAGCGCCCCCTCCTGGCCGTGGCCGCTTGTCCCTGGGGGGCCGCCGCCAAACCTGAGAGGGTAGGGGCCGGGGCCATCTCCGTCCCTCCATCCGACCCCCTGGCATTTATTAAGCGCCTGTTGTGCGCCGGCTGGTGAGCTCGGCAAGGGGGGTCCCAAGATGGACCGCCCAGACCCACTCCTGGGCGATTGCAGGCCTCCCTGCTAGACTGCATTGGTCGTGCTCGCTCAAGTATCAGCACTTAGTGCAGTGTCCGGCCTATAGTAGGCGCTCAATAAATGCTTGTTGGATCTTCTGCACCGCGTGTTATTGTTCCGTGCCAGTTCACCACTAGGAGGCGCTCCTCGGAGATCTTAAAGAGCAGCCTCTGCTTACGCCCCCGCGCACACCTTACCGGGGAGACGGAGCACGAGCTCAGGCCTAAAAGGCGCAGATGGCCCCAATGCGCACGCGCATTCCGAGGCGGACGCCCACAATCTTTGGCGGACTTATTTCTGCGCACGCGCATTTGAGTCAGGAGCCCGAACGGATAACGGCGCGTTTCCCGCCGGATCGGGGGCATGACACCGAGCGCAGTCTGATGACGACACTTCGGCGCTGGGTTTCGGAACGGTGTCTTTTGGCACTTAACCGAGTGGCGCTGTGGGCGCCCCAGGTGAGTGGTGGGAGCCGCCCGCGAGATGTCCCTGCGCCGCAGCGGCTTCCCGGTGCTCCGCCGAGGCCCACTGGTGGTCGGCGCCCCTCCACGAGCCCCGGAACTCGGGCCGGACCCCACCGTCTCTGCACTGGTCGGGGCGGGCGGGAGCGGCCTAGGGCCGGGGCTGTACTTTCAAGTCACCTACTTGCACGGCTCGCACACCCGTCCCGGTGGGTGCTCGGTTAACGTTCATTGAACGAGTTGAAGGAAGGAGAGTTTCGAGTTAAAGTTGTACTTTGTGGCTCAACGAGTGGTGTGGGAGAAAGGCCGAGTGTGGGTCTGGGCCAGGCCCTTCCTTCCTGTTTGGCTTGACTGCTCCGAGCCTCAGTTCTCATCTGCAACATGAGGACTCGATGCGCACTTCAAAGGACAGTTGTGAGCAACAAACGGGAGGATGCTGCGGCTTCGCCTAGGGCGGGAGCGGCTACCGGCCGCGGGAGAAACCCCACAGTACGGTGTGGAGTAGCTCCTGAAGAAAGTGGGTGTCTAAGGGGCGTGAGCCCTGATGGCGAAGTGGTTAAGAGCTCGGCTGCCAACCAAAAGGTCGGCAGTTCAAATCCACCAGCCGCTCCTTGGAAACCCCGTGGGGCAGTTCTACTCTGCCGTATAGGGTTGCTATGAGTCGGAATCGACTCGATGGCACACAACAACAAAAACAAGGGGCAGGATGAAGCGAACACTTGGTGTACAGCTGCGGAGGGATGTGACTGGGGAGCGTGGCTGCTGCACGTTGGGAGGACAGAGCCTGTAGGAGACTCAGTCTCTTGGAGAGACCCCTGTTTGGAGCTTGTTCCTTCAGCTTCCCTTGAGCAAGGAGGTGCTTTCACCTCATCTCAAAGGCTCCATCCTTTTCAGGGAGTCCCGGATTTTATGCTGCATTGATCATTTCGGAGTAGTAAACTGTTTTCTTGACCAAATGGTTTAGAACTGAGGCGTTTTATTTTAATCCTTCCTTAAAACCGAAAGTGGTAGCTAGCTTGAATTAAGAAATGAAAAAGCCTGGAAGTGTTCGTATTGCCAGCATCCAACTGCCTACCCCACCTCCTTGCACCCAGCCTCTCTGCCTCCACAGACACTGCCAGCTGCCACCTTGGCGCCTTTACTCATGCACCGCAGGCAGTGCTGCGCCAGGAAAGCCATCAAGGGTACTTGGGCAGGCTTCCCCTCTGGTCATTCCAAGTCTGGGTGTTTTCACTTTCTGTCCTGGGTGGGTTAGATTTTCTGATCGTTCATTCAAGGGCTACCTTGGCAGAGCTTCCACTTCCTCCTTTGGTTCATTCTGATAAAGCACAGGTCATATAGAAAGTGTTTAACTTTGTCTCTATGAGAGATTTGTGAGGAGGTCTGTGTATTTGAATCTTGGCTTGGCCATTTACTAGCTTGTTGAGGGTAAGTGACTTAACTCTTTTGTCTCTTTGTTTGCTAATCTGTACTGACCTCATAGGGTGGTTGTGAGGATGTATTTTCTATTGCTGTGTGGCAGGCTTAGCTTAAAACACCACCTATTTATTTTTAAGATTTGTCATTTCCAAATGTTGACAAGAACACGCAGCATTGATAATTGGTGAGAATTTAAATTTGTACAGTCACTTGGGGGAATAATTTAGCGTTATACTTAAAGATGCATGTATTTACTAATTATTCTAACAACTAAATACATTCCCCAGACAAACACAGGCACCTGTGCATCAGAGACACGTACAAGGAAGGTCTTAGCAGTTTTGTAACAGAAAAAAAAAAAAAAAAAAAAAATCCAACTATGACCAACTCAAATCATGTCCATCAACAGAAAAATAAAAAAATTTGGAATACTCATATAATAGATTATTCCATAGTGGTGAAAATTAACAAAGTATAGCTAGACAAATCAACATGGATAAATCAAAAAAGCAAAACGGAGTATGATTCATCTATAAAACCATATAAAACAATTATGTTGTTTACGGGTACATAGCTGTACAGTAAAACTATTAGGATATTATAACTCTGGAATATCAGTGTGGTGGGAAAGAGGGAGAGAGGATTACAACCGGAGAAGGGCAGATAGGAGGAGAGGTGTTCGAATTATTGGAAATGTTCTACTTCTTAAGCTGGGTAGCAGATACATTGGTGTTTGTTTTACTATTCTTTACACCAAGCACCCATTTATTATCTCACAGTTATGTAGTCAGAATCCAGGTGGGCTTGGCTGGGTTCTCTGCTTAGGGTCTTACAGACTTTGCTCTTATCTGGAGGCTCTGGGGAAAAATCTGCTTCTGTGCTCACTCAGGTTGCTGGCAGAATTCAGTGTCTTGCAGTTGTAGAACTACGGTCACCATTTCCTTGCTGGCTGTCAGCTGGGGGCTGCGCTCTGCTCCAAAATCTGCCTGCATTCCTTCTCAGGTGGCTTCCTACATCCTCAAAGTAGCTATGGCACATCGAGTCCTTCTTGTGCTTTGAATTTTCTGGCTTCCACTCTGTTACCAGCTGGAGAAAACGCTCTGCTCTTGGATTGGGTCATGCCCACCTGGGTAATCTCTGTATCTAAGGTCAACTGACTTGGGACTTCAGTTACATCTGCAAATTCCCCACAAACTCGGGTCTGAAGCTGGCCACTGTGGACTATGTAAGAATGATATTTCTATAAAACATGGGATGTGGCAGTGCAGTGTGTGTTGGGTTACACAAACGTTCTCCTAGGTATTGTGATAGTACATAATCTATTGTGTGGCAGATGTTGAGATCTCATCTTTGTCTTTCCACAGTGGTTTCCTAAGACACTCATCTTCGACTCTCCACGGGAGCCTGCCATGGCGTTCCTTCACTTGCAGCAGCCCAGTTTCCTACTGGTAAGTATCAAGGCGCATGTTAGTGAAGGCACTCAAGAGTTCTTTCCATTGACTTGAAGAACTCTCCAGTGGTTGTTTTCTTAGGGGCCTGTGATGGAAATAACACTGGACTCAGAGTTAGAATCTTTAAGCTTGATGCTGTCTCCTATTGGTGTGGGACCTTGGGTTTCCTCAGAGTCTGAGCTCTGGCATTCTCATCTATAAGATGAGTTGATTTAAATACTTCCTATTCCCTGGCATGGGGAAGAGTAAGCAAGAAGGATGTACATCAGAATTTTCATGCCCCTAAATAATTGGGCAAATACAAGATGGTTTAATAATGCTAACTATCATCATCAAAAAAGTCTTTGGGTGATGTAAATGGTTAATGCGTTCAGATGGTTGGAGGTTCACGTCTACCCAGAGGCACCTCGGAAGAAAGGCCTGGTGATCTACTTTAAAAAAATCAGTCATTCCAGATTTACTGTTCTAAAAGAGACTGGAGAAACCCCGAGAGTATGGCCTCCAGACACCCTTTTAGCTCAGTGGTGAAGTCACTTCCGAGGTTCACCGTTCAGCTGGGGATTGGACAGCCCC